GTTCTTGCTGGAATCCTTTCATTTGATTTCGTTTTATCCTCCTTTCCACTTTCAACTCCTTTGCATTTTATAGATGAGGAAACCGAGGCTTAGGGAGGTTAACGTGCCACATTGGCGGGATTTCACCTGGGCGGACTGGCTGGCCGTCCAAGCCCACCCCTGGTTCTCTAGTAAATTGAGAAAGGTTGGCTGCCGCTAGGAGGACTCGGGCTTGGCTCTTCCATCTGAGCGTTCAGTCCTAGCAGGCAGGTAGGCAAATCATGTTTCCACCATTAACCCACCCCACCCCCCAGCACAAGCCTCACCTTAGCTTTGTGTGAGTGTTCTGCTTTCCCTACAGATCCCCGAAATCATCCACTTCTGCTGTGACTTTCTCATGTCCTGGGTGGATGAAGAAAACATCCTAGATGTCTACCGGCTGGCAGAGTTGTTTGACTTGAGCCATCTGACGGAGCAGCTGGACACCTACATCCTCAAGAACTTCGTGGCCTTCTCTCGAACTGACAAGTACCGCCAGCTCCCCTTGGAAAAGGTGTACTCGCTCCTCAGCAGCAACCGCCTGGAGGTCTTCTGCGAGACCGAGGTGTACGAGGGCGCACTGCTCTACCACTACACCCCGGAGCAGGTACAGGCTGATCAGATCTCGCTGCCTGAGCCCCCCAAACTCCTGGAGGCGGTGCGGTTCCCGCTGATGGAGCCCGAGGTCTTACAGCAGCTCCACGACAAGCTGGGCCCCAGCCCACTGCGAGACACAGTAGCCAGTGCCCTCATGTACCACCGGAACGAAAGCCTGCAGCCCAGCCTGCAGAGCCCGCAGACGGAGCTGCGGTCAGACATCCAGTGCGTGGTGGGCTTTGGGGGCATCCACTCCACACCCTCCACGGTCCTCAGCGACCAGGCCAAGTACCTGAACCCCCTGCTGGGAGAGTGGAAGCATTTCACCGCCTCCCTAGCACCACGGATGTCCAACCAGGGCATTGCAGTCCTGAACAACTTTGTGTACTTGATTGGCGGAGACAACAATGTCCAGGGGTTTCGTGCCGAGTCACGGTGCTGGAGGTAGGTGAGGCGCTTGTCTGTGCCTCTTGTTGATGGGAGGGGTGGACTGAGAAGACAGGGAGATTACTGGTGTCAATTACAGAATGGGTTCCATGGTTAGAATGGCCATAGCTTGAGACTGAGAAGGTAGAGTTGCTGCTTGCTGAGGGGGTGCCTCAGTTCTAGAGAGGAGGTCAGGATGGATGGATGTGGCAGTTAGAAAAGCAAAAGCAGGACTCGAGTGCCCCCTCTCCTCTCCTCTCCTCTCCCCTCCTCTCCTCTCC